TGACATGGATTACTGAGAACACAGCCCCATTTCTGCATAAATCATCCATCATGAGGAAAACACCAGACTGAAGGACATCCCACAAAGTATTGGCCTGTACGCTTCAACAATTTCAAGGTCGTGAAAGATAAAGAAAGGATGAGTTATTTTTCTGGACTGAAGGAGACCAAAGAGACAAGTACATGCAACCCATAATCCTGGAATAAATTTTGGGTTATAACAAACATGATTGAAAGTAACTGACAGAGAAACTTAGGCTTGAGGAAGCCAGAAGAAGCAAGAGCTCCATTTCAACAGAAGTTATTAGAGGGAACTCAGGAGAACAGGCAGAAATGGTTCACTAATAGCTTCTCTGAATGAGTGTAACTGAATGAACAAAGGGCCTATGCAGAGAAATCTCTTCCTCAAGAGTTAGCAGCAGCAAAGCACTACATTCCCAAGAGTAGAAGACATACTAACTTCCTCCTTGAACGTAGACAAAAATTGAGAAAGCTGTTTAAAGCACAGAATGACAGCTTAGCCTGACCTGTTAAAGAGGTGGCTTTGGGGACATCTCCACGTCCTGCCTCCTCCCAGGTACTGGCTCTGCAGTACCGCTGCTGCTTGGCTTTTGGCTGGGGCAGGTGCTGCCAGAACTTTCCCTGGGCAGGTGGGAGGCTGGGGAGATGAGGGGATGGAACCCAGGCCAGGCCCAGAAGAAAGCTGGCAACACTCATCAGGCCACCCAACCGTTGCCTAAGAGTCCAGGACAAGATCACAGGGAGGGCAGGGCAGGGCACAGTTCCTGAGCACCATGTACTTGTGCCAAGCAAGTACCCACATGTCACCTCATTTCACCCTCACTAGTCCTAGGAGGGGGGCATTACTAACTTCACTGCAGAGAGGGCAGAACAAACTCGGACAGGTTAAGTACCATGCTCGAGGTCCCCGATGAGTGAGTGCAGAGTTCTGACTCAAATCCAGGTCTGTCTGGCATCCAGATCCACGTTTTTTCTGCTACACTGTGTTGGGTCTCTGTCATCTCGGAGCTTGTGAATGGTCTAAGATTGTCCTCCCTTGAAAATTTCTGAGTCAGAGCTACAAGAGTAGTAATTTGTACAAAATCAGTCCCCACCTGAGCTTCTCCCCCAGCCTTAGGATTCTTTGACTTAAGGGAAGAAGGGCTTTATAGAATCCCTTGAAATTGTACTCAAAAACTGTGCGTAGGTTCATGAAGATTTGTTTTGGCAAGAGTGTCTCTGGCTTTCATCGGGTTCTCAAAGGGATCTATGACTCAAAAACGGTTAATAACCACTGCTTTAAGCATTATTTGGTCTGATTCTCTCCTTTCACAGATGAGGAAATGGACTTCGTGAATTCTATTTTCTACTTCAAGCTTTTGCTGCTTTTTCTGGAGCTACCACAGTACAACCTACGCAGTTCTCCTCCGAGCAGCTTCCGCCACTTCCCTCGTGCTGTGGAAACATCCTAGTGAGGCCAAATGGCAGGATGAGCGGCCAGCACTTCATTTTTCATAGAGAAATGGAGAGTCCCTACGGAAGGGAGGTCTGGCCCTTTGCCCAAAGTACCATGAACAATGAGTATTCTTTATATGAATCAAGGCCATGTGAAAAGAGTAGATACCAGAATTAGAATAATTCAGAAAAATGACTCTTCAGACCTGGTAGGTTTGGGGAAGAAAGTGTGTGGTTATCTCGTATGCACTTTAAACCCTGGACCCAATAGCTTTTAAGCCTCTTTAAAAATAAAAATTTGAGTTGATAAGAAGGGGCTTTGCCCAGTAACAGCCACCAGGTGGGTTGCTTTAAAACCTGTTAATCTAGTTGGCAAATAGCTGATTCTTTCTCTGGCCCTCTCTGGATCTTACTAACTTCCTGAGAAAAACTTTCTGAACGCAGAAGATGGAGCGCTTTTAAAGGACTAAGAGGCGGGAGCATTATCTCAATACATTTTGAGGTTTTGCTTCCCTGCTATTGTTGACAGTTTTGCTCAAAGAAACTCACAAAATTTCTTTACAGATTAAATGTTTCTTACAAAGGGAAATCCAGATTATTTGTACTAATTTCCAGTCTTTGTAGGAGGAATATAATTAAGTAAAAACTCCTCAAACCAGAAGAGAAAGGACTATAGGTCCCTCCAGTGACAAAATAGGAAGGCAAATCTCTAAGTGTGAAAACTGTCAACTGTGCACAGAAGGTGGAGGCCCCAGACTCACTTCAGATTCTGACCCGGCGTCAGAATCCACTTGGGATAGACTGGACTAGGGGCCTGCGCTGGTTTTCCATCAACGTTTTCCCATCAAAAACAAAAAATGTCAGGGATGACAGAAAATAACAAAATACAAGAAGTTTAAAATAAGTAAATAAATAAAAACAAAGGACTAAGAGGCAATAGAACTATTGCCCTCTGTGTGCCTACAGGCATAAACCCAGCGGGTGGAAAGCAGGAAGAACACTGTGGCATTACAAGGCAAAAACTGTCCAGGCACCTTTTTTGGGTGGGGTGAGTAGGAGCAGCGAGGAGGTTTTTGTTAATGTAGAAACTCTTTTACAAAGTTCATTTTCTGGGATTTTAATCTGAAGCATTTAGTCACTGGGGAGGAAAAGAATAGAAGTTAGCTATAAAAATCAAGTAGGTGACACTTTTATTGGGGCAGAATGAGACAGTCCAAGAATGTAGATAGTGATTCATTCTCCATAAATGCTCATCTATTTATAGTGTGTTCATCCTGGAGTTATTTCTTTGTTTGCCTTCTTTCTTTTCGATTTTGATTGATGACAGCCATGATATTTTGCTTTGATGTGTTTCTAAGTGTAGTTTCACACGGTTCAGTAAAAATGATGCAGCCATCAAGTATGCAATTATTGCAGTATATGGTCTGACTGTATGGCAGTGTTGTAGCAGCTTCCTAGTTTCTCCTTTTCCCTCCCTTTTCCAAGTCCTCCTTCCAGTGTGGAAGGGTCTGCATATTCTGGCTATGGGCAGAGGTTCAGGGACGAGAGGGGGTCTTCCAGCTTTGCATGAGCAGTGGACACGGGATCACGCATCCTCTTCTGGCTGTAAGGAAACTTGGCTACATTGGGCTGCTCTCTTAAATCAGTGGCTTTTATTTTCTTCAGTCTTCAGTGATGAGAGAAATATTATGAAGACATTGCTATCTAATTCTTAACCTTTTTCAATAAAAAATTCCTGTGTTCAGTAGCATGGTTAATGCTCTTGTTTAGCCTTCCCCTCCAAACTGTACATGGTGGCTTGGAATGTTCACAACTCGTGTGCATGGCAGCATAAGATAACTCCTATATTCTACATTGCTACCGTTTTTGCATAAAATAAATTGGTAACGATTGACACTTAGAAAAAAAATTGGGTAGGTGAATAATAATAATGTTCATGTAGTGATTCCACTTATATTCTCTTAATCTTATGATTTATCCCTAAAACACATTTGGAAACAAGAATTCACTAACCTATGACAGAATCATTAAAAAGGGGAAAAGGAAAAAAAAAAGAAAAAGACTGGGTTTTGGTGCCTAAATGCTTTCCCAGAGAACTCCCCTCAGAACTTTTTCACAGCCGCTGTTGTTCCCTCCATGTGAGCCACGGTCTGGTCCTCTTATGTGTGTTCTGCAGGCTACCAGGCCTCCGCTTGGAGCCTGTCTCCACAGCTCGGCTGTTCCAGAAACCCTCCCTTTTCCAAGTCCTCCTTCCAGTGTGGAAGGGTCTGCATATTCTGGCTGTGGGCAGAGGTTCAGGGATGAGAGGGGGTCTCCCAGCTTTGCATGAGCAGTGGACACGGGATCACGTACCCTCTTCTGGCTGTAAGGAAACTTGGCTACACTGGACTGCTCTATAAATTTTCTGGAGCCCTTAAGTTTATAAGATACATATATATATTAAATAAATGATAATCCATAAAAGAAGGTAAGAACCTATCAGTCCATACGGACAAACAAATGGGGGAGAAGGGGGACTCTCCCTTACAGTAGCACTCCAATTAGTAAATATAGAAGAAGTGATGGAAACAGACGCTAACATCTGGCAAACACTACAGAAATAATCACGTTGGGCAGGAATCATCAAAGGATGTCAAAATGAGTGGGCAAAGTGCGATGAGAAACAGGATATTTACATAGTCCCAAGATACTCATTAATTAGAAAACAGTAGCTTCACAGCAGAGAATGCTGGCAGACACCGCTTAAAGCAAGTGGTCAAAGTCAGCATCACCAGCAATGGGACGAATCCACATGACACGTCTCCTGATAGGATGCGCTGAGGACACGACATGACCTCTGTGGCATTCTTGCCCAAATTCTTGCATAATCGGGATTTAATTGAGAGGCAACATCAGAAAAACCAAAATTAAGGGAATTGTACAAAACAACTCCTCAATACTCTCTAAAAGTGTCAAGGTCATGAAGGTGACAAAAAGACTGAGGAAGCATTCAAGATTGAAGGAAACTTAAGATCCTGACAACTAAATGCATAACTGGATCTTGAACCAGAAAAAGGGCACTCGTGGGACAATGTTACCCTCCTGACTTTGATAACTATGGTTATGAAAAATGTTAACATTCTCTGAGAATTTTTTGTAACGTTTTTGTAAGTCTAAATGATTTCAAAATGAAAAGTTAAACAAATTATACTTGAAAACTTATACATTAGAGATTAGGCTGTCTTTCTCTGTTTGCCAGCGCCTGACATTGTAAAGCCCATGGGTTGACACATACAGCTATGTAAGGGCTTGGTGCCCAGGGGGAAGGAGAGGTTGGGATCCATTTGGGACCTTATTAGAGTCAAAATCAGGCTTCTGAGATTTATAGACACAATAAATGATAACATTCAAGAGATATAAAAATATCCTTAACAGGTTTCCAGGGAGGGTCACAGGCATGCCAAGTCCTTCCTTCTGCCTCAGGAAAGAGCTGTGTCCTTGGGAAGCCCAACCACAACCAGAGGAGGGGGAAACGCAATAGAAAATAGCAAAATGTTCATCACTCACTTGTCCTGGGACTCAATATACACGTAGAGATGAGGCTCAAAACACTTGGAAACAATGCCATGAAACGGATTGTCTGGGGCTTTAGGCTTCTTTGGCTGTAAAGAAAAAAAGACAAGAAGAAAAAAGAAACCCTATACTTGAGCTGTCATTGAAAAATTTCAAGCAGTTTCAAAGTAAATATCCCTTCCATGTTCACTCCTAACTTATAGATAAGAAGCACTCAATGTAACTAAACTGGCCCTAGCTGGTTTGGCTCAGTGGATAGAGCGTTGGCCTGCGGACTGAAGGATTCCAGGTTCTAGTCCGGTCAAGGGCATGTACCTGGGTTGTAGGCTCGACCCCTGACCCCTGTCGGGGTGCATGCAGGAGGCAACCAATCTATGTGTCTATCTCACATCGATGTTTCTCTCTGTCTCTCCCCCTCCTTTCCCTCTCTCTAAGAATATCAATGGAAGAATATCCTCCAGTGAGGATTAACAACAACAAAAAAGTAACTAAACTGGGTCTATTTCCTGCATTATAATTCATGCCAACTTGTGAACAATAAGCTGGCTTTGTTAGCAACATTTACTTGCTTGGTATGGTGAAAATTTACTGCTACTTTGATAACACATGCATTTTCAATTTGGAAGTGATTCAACATTTGACTGATGTTTCAAAAATTTAAATCCTAGCTAATAACAGCATCTTATATTTATAGTGCTTTAAAAGTTATAAAAGTGGTTTCACATGATCTAATTTTGATAGCCTCTTTTTACTGATTGTTATTATGAACTAGGCACTTTGATATGAAGTAATATCTCATCTACTCCTCACAACCCTCAATGTAGGAATTTTTACTATTAGTTATACCTAAAGAAAGGGAGTTCCACTGGCCAGGTGGCTCTGTGGTTGAGCGTGGACCTATGAACCAGGAGGTCACAGTTCGATTCCTGGTCAGGGCACATGCCTGGGTTGCAGACTCAATCCCCAGTGCAGGAGGCAGCCAATCAATGATTCTCTCTCACTGATGTCTCAGTCTCTCTCTCTCTCTCTCTCTCTCTCTCTCTCTCTCTCCCTCTCTCTCTCTCTCTCTCTCTCTCTCTCTCCCCTTTCCTCTCTGAAATCAATAAAAATATATTTTAAAAGAAAATTTCTGATTTTGAGCTGTGGTAATTTAAGTGGAAGTCCTTCTTCTTAAGAAATACATACTGAAATCTACAGAGGTAAAGGGCATGATATCTTCAAACTAACAAATTGTTCTGAAAGAGAGATGGGGGGAGGAAGGAAGAGAGAAAGAGAGGAGGAGTGGGGAAGGATGTGATCAAGGTAAATATTAACAACCAGTGAATCAAGGTGAAAGATTTTAAGAGTTCCTTGTAATATTCTTAAAACCTTTCTCTAAGTTTGACATTATTTTTTTTTTAAGTGAAATAAAATAGAAGACATGGGAGATGGGTGCCAAAGGCCTGGCAGGAAATCCCAGAGACAGTTGGGGAGCAGTCTTAAGAAATGGCACCCACCAACATTCTGGATGGCGCAGAGGACACTAACGCGTGGGAAAATACAGAAATATATGCCTGAGCAAACAAGGGGGTAAGATCAATTCCCCAGTTTTGGTAATGCACTGTGTTAGCTGTCACCACTGGGGGAAGCTGGGAGGTGGGTCCACAGGACCTCTGCTCTCTGCAACTTCTTGTGAATGTATATGTAATTATCCCCAAATAAAAAGTTTTTAAAAAAGTGGTTCAGGAGAGAGAGAGATAGATGGACTCTGAATGCAAAGAAATTTTAGAAATATCTTATCCTATTTTATTTTGCTTATGTGTTCCCTTTTATGCATGCATGAAAATGACATGATAAAAATCTCCAAGTCTGAAGAACCCATTCAGTATAAAATACAGATTTTTAAATGATGAAAGAAAATGGCTACATGACATTTCAGCACACTCATCCTGATCAGTCTTCCTCGGGCCTTGTGCTTGACGAGCCCCACAGCACACTCTGAATTTGGCACTCGGAGAACGGCATAATCAGACAGAGCAGGCATCCCCACCCCGCCCGCAGGCGACCCTGCTCTGCCCAGCCTCTGCCCACTAATGCCGCTCCTGGCAGTGAGAACAGAGACCGGCCACCACAGCTCCCGGTCCTCTTGCAGCGCTTTCAGTGTGAGATGGAAGGAAGAGAACAATAGGAGAGATTGCCGGAACTTTCCTTTCTTTCCACAGGGCTGCCTCCTGCCTGTGACTGTGCTCATATTTGGATAATAGGTGTTGGAATTTCAGCTTAAGCTGGTGTCTCCCTTTGCACCGTCCAGCTCCCCAAAGGGTTGATTCTCAGCTCAAAGCATCTACTAAGTCATTTAGCAGTAGCATTCAGGCTGGCTTTCTGGTGTGTGAATTCTGTCCAAAAGCTGCAGATGTGGAAGCTATTTCCTCCTGGAGCTTGATGGAATAATAAAGGTTACTGTTGTCACAGTGAGGAGGTCTGCAGCTGGCCCCGTTTCCTTTTATTACTATCCAATGTAAACAGATTAAGTCTTACTGCTCGGATCACCAGAAGGGGACATTTTAAACCAGAAATTCCTTATTTCTTCTGCCTCTTTCTTTTAGACTTTGAGTACCCTCATTCTCTTTTCATGTCATTTTTTTTTTATCATTGGGAATATGCTGGTAACTGATTGTTCGAACTACTAGTAAATGCCTCTTTTCAAGTTCATTCTCCCTTCACCATAACCTAAACAGTGGTAGTGAGCAGGAATGAGCCTCACCATGAGGGCACACTGTCCACTGCCTGCAGTGCCACGTGGGTTGGGTAACCCAGGGTAACCGCTGGGGGCCGTCCCCCACTACCTCTGGCTAAGCTCACCACAGCAAACTGTGGACTTCCTCCCCAGCACCCCACAGGGCTCCTGTGCACCCAACTGGAAGCCACAGTCAGTGGCTGGGAAGAGGAAGATCCTGGGGCTCCCACCTAATCAATCACAAACAAGACAAAGCGCTGGCGAGGCCTGCAAGGTCGGGGAAGGTATGCGAGGAGGCATTCGTCACTGGTGTGTAAGTTTTATTACTAAGAAGCAATAGGCTGTGAAATTGCAAGTGGATAATATAGTCCGGGGATTTTTTAGTACTTTATTTTTATGCACATTAAACCCCTGGATCAAAAGAAATTTTACCTGGAAGTCCACGATAAAAGTGGCTCATAATCGGACTCCTCTGTTTGGAGGTAACTTGGTCTCCTCCCAACTCTCCACAGTGATTCCTGACGGGGCACTCAGGAATCAGTTTGAAAGCAAGTAGTTCTTTCTAAAGATCAAGAAACCAAGAAGGTCTGGAGAAAGTAAAAATCTAGCCCGGCCAGCGTAGCTCAGTGGTTAAGCATTAACCTATGTATCAGGAGGTCATAGTTCGGTTCCCAGTCAGGACACATGCCCAGATTGCAGGCTCCATCCCCAGTGAGGGGCGTGCAGGAGGCAGCCAGCCGATCAATGATTCTCTCTCATCATTGATGTATTTATCTCTCTCTCTCCCTCTCTGAAATCGATAAAAAAAAATGTTTTATAAAAATCTAATAAAGGTCATATGGTCAGATAATGACAGAGCAGACTGGCACTTTCCCTACCACATGACCTGGCTTTATCACATGAGTCTGTGTTCTCCGTCCTTAGAATGAGCAGGTCTTGGTCATTATAACAATAACCTTGAGCTTCCAGAATGAGTAAAAAGTTTCATAAGAAATAATAAAAATCGTATTTTACCTGGCAAAACTGATTTTGTAGGAAATGGGGAATTGTATCTAATCCAGTTTAATCACATCCAGAGATGACTAGCTAAACGGATAACTTTTCACGGCAGCACTACAGCATCTGAGTATTCGACTACACAGTTCTGGACATGACAACAGCAGTCACCAGCACTGGGAGCCATGGCACGCAGGGTGGGTGGAGGATATACACCAGAAGAATGAGCTCTACATACAGCTCCCTCCTTCCCATCTGGTCTTTCCTCCCAAAATGTTAGAAGAAATCTTTTTTTTTTCCCCCCACACTGGCTGATAGGATGGCTTTAAATCAATTACATTTAATCCTATAGATCTCTGGGATGCAGCCTGAAGGTACCCTTCAGTTTTATTCATTCACTTTTATTCATGGGAATAATTCCTATGTCCTCTACTTTTCATTGAGACATCACAGGGTAATGAGACTGTCAAGAAAGGAATCCTAGTCTCTGACTTCTAGGCCTGGCTTCCAGTCCTAGTTCCTCCACTTCCAGACGAGGTAACCCGGGCAAATCACTTAACCTTCCTGAGCTGCAGGCATTGCAGTTCATATAAAATCATATAAAATGAGAGACAGGCACTGAGAAGATGAAATGAAGTAAAGCATGTGAAAGACTTTTAAACTATAAAGCACCATAAAAATGTGAGGTATCCATGTTATTATAATTATTTAATCAATGGACCAGACACATTTTATTGCATCACTTCAGAACTGGCCCTGGAAATTCTGCTCTCCTGGCTCCTGCCAGGATTGTACCCCGCCCTCGCCATGCTAGAAATACAGGGTGAGCTGCAGCGAGTGTGGCTAGGTTTCCCAGAGCTAGTCTTCCCAGTCAGCCTTCCTTTGGTGGTGTCTGGACCAAACCAATACTATAAAATAATTCTTTAGAAGCCAAATGTAGAAAATTAAAAGGAAGGATCACTAATCCAGACAGAAAAAGTTCTGATTTATTGCTCTAAACCCTTGTCATAAAATGGCAGTGAAACAAAAACACAGTTCTTGTAGGATGAAGAGAGAGGAAATTTAGAGTTGGACAGAAAAATCCGAAGGAAATGAAAGTGCTAGTGTGCTGGGAAAAGTAACTCCAAATACGCCACTGGGTCACCTTGACGTTTCCAGGCCTCCCCAATGGCTTCCAGGCCTAAAACGATCAGCTTACACTGAGCGGAGGCCACCCCCAGCTGATGGTGCTAACTTCGCTGGGGATCTTTCGGCCTTTCATGTCATCACCGGACCAGATGAGAGTACAACCGAAAGCTAAGCCGACAAGTTCAGGAGATGATGACTGAGGCCGGGCAGAATTCTGCTGCCCCCCCTCATGGGCTGATTAAGCTTGTGCGTGTTGCTAATTCCGGTGGTGAGGCTTTGGGGAGCAGAGAGGCAGGCAGGAAGGGCTGCTGTCTCACTCAGTTTTCTAAATACACGTTCAGATAAAGGCTTTCTATAAAGACCACCAAAGTTGTAATCTCTGAATGTGGTCAACAGCCAAAGGATCATATTTAGAGCGAGCAGACCCATTTTCAGAAACAAGCACTAGGTAGGATGCAAGTGGAAGTGCAAACCAGACTTACTTGATCTAAATCTCCTTTCTCCATTGCCAGTTCCTCCATCTCTGGTGTTGACTCATCTTCCAGGAACGGATTGGTAGATGGGGGTGGAGACTCGAGTTTTTTCTGTTGAGACATAAGAGATCGGTATCTTCTGAGCTCTGCCCATTGCTTTTTCCACGTCTCTCCAAGAGCTAAATCATGAAATCTGACCTAATGAACAAGAACTGAGGCAACATGACCACATTCTCACCTTTAGGCCTTCACATTGTTTTCCCATCTTCTTGAAACCTTATTGCCCTCCCAACCCCACCCCAATCCCAATCTGGCTAAAACTCTTACTTATCCTTCAGTATGCAAATTAAAAGTCCCGTCTGGGAAGGCTTCCCCATTGTCAAGTTTGGGTTAGATGTTCCTGTCACCATCCCACCGGTACATCCCCTACCCAGGTATTTATTAAAATATTGCAACTGCCCATTTATTTGTCTCCTCCCTAGATTCCATGATGGCAGGGATCACATCTGTCTTGTTCCCCATCCTATCTCTGGTGCCTGGCATGTTATAGGTGCTCCATAAATATGAATGAATCAAAATGCCAGATGGGTTTGAATTCAAGAACAAACTATAGCAGGGCCTGGTGGTGCGCACTTGTAGTCCCAGCTACTCGGGAAGCTGAGGCAGGAAAATCACTTGAGCCCAGGAGTGCTGGGATGTAGCACGCTATGCCAATTGGGTGTCTGCACTAAGCTGGCCATCAATATGGTGACCTCCAGGAAGCAGGGGACCACCAGGTTGCCTAAGAAGTGAACTTCCCCAGGCTAGAAACGAAGCAGGTCAATACTCCTGTGCTGATCAGTACTGGGATTGTGCCTGTGAATGCCACTGCATTCCAGCCTTGGCAACACAGCAAGACCCCACTCTTTTAAACCCTCAGCAATGAATCTTGAACCCTCAAGAAACAAATGATACAGTGATACTACCCCTATTCATTGCCTGAGCCTTAAAAAAACAAACAAACAAAAAATAGCCCAGCCGGCATGGCCAGTGGTTGAGCGTTGACCTATGAACCAGGAGGTCACCTCTCAATTCCTGGTCAGGGCACATGCTCAGGTTGCTGGCTCGATCCCCAGCGTAGGGCATGCAGGAGGCAGCCCATCAATGATTCTCTCTCATCATTGATGTTTCTATCTCTCTCTCCTCTACCTTCCTTTCTGAAATCAATAAAATTATATTTAAAAAACAATAAACTATAAAGCTAATCTTATGTTTTAGATTATAGAAAGAGTCCCTTCCCAAATAAGTCCCTTTACAACAACCACAACAAAATATCCTTGAGAAAATTACTCCCCAGCTTCTGAATATGACCACTCTTTCAAAAATATATTGTTGAGTGGGACCACAGGCTGGTGGGAAAGCTGGAGGCGGGTGATGTAGGTTTTAGCTCCAACTCTTGGCCAAATCATCTAGCTCCTGTGAGCCACAACAGCCTCATCTGCTGAATGAGGATACACTCATAGGACACTCGAACGATCAAATGTGATAAAGTGTGCAAAGTCCTAGGAGAAGCACATAATACATATAAGAGACATTGATGATGATAATTCCAGTGCAACTACAGAATCAAGGCAGCGCTTCGGAATTTTTTACAAATTTGACCTTGAGATGTTTATGCCAGGGAGCTGGGAGCTCTAGCAGAAAGGAAACTAAGTAGACAAGCAGGATAAAGGAAATTGGTGGTGCTGGGGATGAGGAGAAAGGGCAAGGAAGAGCTCTCTGGAGACAAGAAGCCAGGTACAGCCCAGCTGTGTGGGTCAGCTGGGTGGAGCACTGTCCCGTACACCAAAAAGGTTTAGGCTCAGCATATACCTAGTTTGCAGGTTACATCCCTGGTTGGTTGGGGCATGTATAGGAGACAACTGATTGATGTTCCTCTCTTCCTCCCTTCCTCTCTCTCTAAAATCAATAAACATATCCTTGGGTGAGGGTTAAAAAAAAAAAAAGCCAGGTGGAGAAGGAGTTTCCAATGTGACATTTTAGCATATATTAATGGAGAAATGAACAATTCCCTAAGCCAAGAGGGACAGCAGATGGACTACAGTGTGAATGACTTTGTCAAGTGCCAGGATATCAGCTAAAGATATTATTAAAAAAATAAAAAAAAAAAGAAGAAGAAGAAGAAACCACACCTGTGTCTGTGTCTGGTTTAGACTTCAAGACAATTCTGCTTACACTCACATAAACTGCAGAATCCCTGGCCAAAACATTTGGATGCTATCGCACAGTTAGACAGAGCTTCAGCATATGAAGAAAGGCTTGTGATTAATGCATTAGCTCAAGGTAATCATTAGTAAAATAATGACTTTTGTGGTATCCTGCTGAGAAACAATATGGTCTAACAACCAAGCAAATATTTCAAATGTATACAATCAGAACTCTGGCTTCCTTGCCTGATCCAGAAAAAAAAAAAAATTTTCCTGTAAACTTAAAGCTATTTAAGTTTCTTTTTAGAATTAGGCTATTTTTAGGAAGAAAAGTTTATTTGAAAACAGTATTTCTAAGCTTTAGTTATCTCTGTAAGGGCTGTTAGTAGTGTAGGGAAAGAGGAATGGTGAGAAAGGAAATCCATGAAGCCTAAGCTTCAACAAGATAAACGAGGTACTAGCGTTGGATTCCTGATCTGACCAGCTCAACAGTGGGTTTTGGGATCATATTGTTGAGCTGGATCTTTATGCTCTGAGTCTTTTGGTTCTTTGGTCATGTGGAGAGCAAGTCAGTAACTGAAGTGAAAAGCTTTGTTCAAAATCATTCAGTGATAGAACAAGGATTCGAATTTTTGAACTAAACATTACTCGCCTATTGTTAGGTCTACCAAGGTTGACAATAACAGATCAAAATTACACACAGGTGGGCCTCATTTTAAAAACAATGTGCTACTGGAACTCATGACAAAAAGTGGACATCGGCGAAGTGAACCGAGGGTGTTCCTGGGCTCCACTCTCACTGGGAGAGGGTCTGTGCAGAGATGTAGGAAGTAAAACATAAAAGGCAGCATTGAAAAGGCATTTGGGGCAGTAGAGCACGGGCCACTTGCTCAGTGTTATGGGTCGGAAGAGTCCCAAGATTTCTTTCCTATCCCCACCGTCTGTCTCTATTAACATCCCGATGGGATTCCTGAGGGAGTCATAGGCACTAAGGAACTTCTTGCTCGTTCATTTGGGGCGCAAATGTTTCAGGTGTGGACCACATTGATGCAAAAAAGTGATTCAGTCCTTCATTCACCCACTAACAAGTGGATGTGCCATATGCTGGGAACCAGCTGCCCTCAGGAAGATTATGGTCAGGCGAGGAAGATGGACTATAATAAAAAAATTACAAAAACGTGTGATGAGAACCATTCAGGAAAAGTACAGGTTTTTATGAAAGGATGCAACATAGGGTCACAGAAAACTTCCCCAAGGAAATGATGTTTGAGCCAGAACTGAAGGATGCTCCAGAGTTAAATATGTGAAGGGGGTAGGAGGAGTGAGGTGGGTGTGGCCAGAGGTTTGCAGGCATAGAATAGCATCTGTATGCCATTCATTCAGCAGTTATGGACTGAGCATCTATCTACTCTGTTCCAGGTACTCTTTTAGGCACTAGAAATACAACCCTGAATAAGACGGAAAAGGAAGGGAGGCAGTGATGGAAATAAAACTTAGGAACTGGGGTGGCCTGGGGTGATCAGAAAAGGTCTCTTTGAGGAGGAGATAGTTGAGCAGAGACCTGAATAAGAAGGAGCCAATCAGGCAAAGACCTGGGGAGGAGCATTCTCAGCCGGGGACCTGGTGCAAAGACTGGAACGAGCTTGTTGAGTCTGAGAACAGGAAGGAAGGCAGGGCATGAGATAAGAGAGGCAGCAGGAGCTCAAGCACATAGCCCTTCCTGGGCCATGGTAAAGGTTAAATTTTTCTTATCGAAATTGGGCAGTCAGTGGGTGTTTTAAACAAGGAAATGATGGGATCTCATTTAATTTTTAAAATGTCATTCCAACATCATGAACTGTAATGGAAGCTAGAAGAACAGCTTAAGAGGCTGCTGCAGTGTTCTAGACAAGGTCCCATGTGGGAGTAGACGAAGCTGGCATTGTGGAGACAAAAAAAAAAAAAAAAGTGGCCAGATCTGGGACATATGTAGCAGATAAGGTCCAGAGGACTTGTTGAGAGAGTGGATGTGAGGGTGAAGGAAAGAAAGAAATCAAGGATCATTCACTTCTTGGCCTGAGCAACTGCGTGGCTGGTGTTACCATTAACTGAGTAACAAACCCTGGGTTTCAGTCCAGGCTCTATCACTTGGGTAAGTTGCTTAACTTCTCCAAGCCTCAGTTCTTCTATAAGAAATGTGAAGGGATAGAAATATCCACTGCACAGAGCTGCCGTGAGGACTAAAGGAGATACTGTATGTAAAGCATGAGCTATGCTTATAAAGTTGCTTAACACATCGCCTGGTGCAAAGGGAAACCTCAGTCGGTGTTCATTAGCATTTCATAGGGGCGGGCAACTAAATAAGGTAGAACTGTGGTTGTGTTTGTCTGGATGAAGCAACTCTCAGAAGAGGAAGAAATGGGAGCACAGGGCCAAGAAGTCTTGTAAAAAATGATTCCTTTTAATCATAAGTAAGATCCTGTCCCGACTGTTTTGTCTCTTTGAGATCTCTCCAGGAAATGAAAGCGATGGGCCCATCAAATTACAAGGCACAGGACCACTGAGTTTCTCTCCTTCTTCCCTGGTCTCCATCAAAGCCCTAGCGTACCACAGGAACCACTACCCTGCTGGTAAATGTGACAGTACAAAGCCCTGAGGGCGGATACAGACTCCTGCTATTTAGAAAGCCACACTAGTGCTCAGACTAATTTGCTGTGATGAAGGAACAAGCCTTTGCAGAGAGCAATCAGCACACAACTCAGCCTTCTGTGCATGAGCCCTGTTGTCAGAGCCAACCAGACCACACTTCTCATTCTCGCTTTGCAGCTGCTGTAAACCATAGAGAATTACAAGTTTGGGTTTAGATTTTAAATAACTCAAATGACATATTCCATGAGCTCTGGGGCTGCTAAATGAAACCAAAAATTTGTCAAGAAATGAGTAATT